GGTGATATCTCGGTTTTGGGCTAACAACCTGGGCCAGTGCACGCAGATCACACGTGTATAGTATGTGTAGACGAGGTCTTTAGCTCTGTCGGTAGGATACCGCCTCGGATGTTCTTGACTCTCACACTGGGCCCAGGTGAATGAGGGAGGAGAGCCTGCGGTGGATGTTGCCAAAGTAACTCGTGGGTAAGCCACCAGTCGTACGCCTACCCTGCTGTGGGAGCATTTGTGGAATTAATGACTGTACTGTCAGATGTCAGTATGCAGACAGTACCCATGCGCGCAAAAGTAAAAAAGGATAGCCAATACAAGTGAACATGCGAGTCGCAGGAAGTAATTGAAGAGAAGAAGACGATTCGATTGCTGGGACAACACTTTTATTCGCCTGAAGTTTCGATATCAGTCGAGGATTTTTTACCGACAGGTTCGCTTTTCTGAGATTGCTTTCTGCTCATGTTTCTGATGAAGAATCCGCGATGGATATCGAAACGTCAGGCGAATAAAAGTGATGTCTCAGCGATCGAATCTTCTTCTTCTCTTCAAAGAAGGGTTGCGTAAAAACTGCCTATGTCACCTTCTCTTTTTGGGGAATTAAGTATAGCAAGCAAAGTGATAACTGATCAGAGGCAGCAGGCCACTGAGTACGGCGGATTAATCAACTAGGCATTGTGTGTTTAAGTACAGTTAAGTTTATTTGAGAGGAATGTATGTGTGTACCGTTGAGTTCCCTATTTGTTTACATGCGTGTTATGATAACAAAAGTATTGTAGCTCAGCTTATTGGCCATATCAAGTGCTACGAGCCAATGAGATGGAACAAAAGCCAAAAAGGAGCTGACGGTGAAAACATAATCCCTTGGGATTTTTTAAGAGGAAAAGTTGTCACACATGGTCGAAACGGGGAGGGGATCCTGGAGGTCACGTGGATCATCGCCTATGCTTCCAGCCTTCGTTTAACATTTTCTTTCGTATTTTTTTGTTTTTATGACGATATAATAGTTGGAGGCATGCGCAAAATAGAGAAATAATGAAATAGGGATAATAAACCAAGTAAACACCTCACTATTGCCGGCAAAGATAAGGGAGACTGGGATGGCCACTGTGCGGTTACTGATAGGACTCAAGCGTGAGCCCCAAGGCAGAACGGGACCAGTGAGTTCCATTAGCTAATTGGAGGACGTTCATCAACGAATAATTGGAAACTTCCGATAGGGAAAAGAGGTGAGCCGCGGGAAGCAGTTAAGTATAGGGCGGCGAGATCGGACTTGGACGAGCAGGTAAGCATCGCACCAATTATGACCACTGGCAGTTAATGTGGGAACTGCTAATTATGGTATGTAGGTTTTCGCCTGAAAACTGCATTATTTAAATCCTGCGACCACCAGCATTATTTCCGTCCTTGAAACAACAACTCCCGAGGATCACTCGCTGTACCTTGGCTCAACTACGCAATGGCTACTCGATGCTTGTCCGCCATTAGCAACACCGGCTTGACCCGTCCGCATCCAACAGCTGTCCCAGCTGTCGGCAGCTTTTCGCCTGCAGTCCCCGGCCAGACACCAAATTCACCCCCGCGGACCTTTGGCTCAAGCCGGTTGAGGTCCCGCCTTTTCTTCGTCTTCCAACTACAACCAGTTTGGACTTCGGTGGTGACTCTTGATCCAACAAGGGCTGCGACACTCACTATCCCAGATTCTGGGTTTGGTGGATAGCCAAAACGTTCTGCGAATGAAAGTCTTGTTCCTGCGATCGCAGGGCACTTTTACTTAGCCAGACACCATATTGTTTCCTAGTTTAA